CAAGCAGAACCTTAGATCTGTTTGCTGCAGCTTCTAGCTAAAGTGTCCTCATTTTCCTGCAATGTAGATTTTACATTCACAAGGTCTTGGAAGGACCTGGATGGACCTTTCCAGCCCAAGGTGTCAGTGATGAGGCATAAATCACTGGACTGCACTAGCATTTTATAAGATGTCACTTCAAATGAGTGGCTCATGCCTGAATCTTAGGGTCTGTGGGGCTGTGGCTTCAACATCAGAACCACACGTGACCGTCTGCAAAGTGGCAGGGCCACTGGGACCAGCCCAGAAGCAGGGAGGAGAAAATCAAGGGGCGCGGCAGGGCTCCCAGCTGCAACACCCAGGCTTGGACTGAAACGCTCCTGCTCCTTCTAGCACCTCTTCGTCTGGAAAGACTGGTTAGCTCAGAGTTACATCAGAAGTCCCAAGTCACACCCAAGCCCTCCTTTGCTCCACCCTAAAAAGTCAGCACTGAGGCATTAGAGACATCAGCAGTTTTTGCCTTCCCAAGGCATTTCAGTCACCTGAATGACAATGAAATTATGCCCATATTTAGAGAAAAAAATTAACTACTGCTGAAAGCTGTTTTGTCCCATTACATAGATTTGGCCGACAATTAGTTGACTTATAGCAGAATCAAAATTTTTTTTCCCTAAGTAGATGGAAAGTTTACTAGTGAAAGCATACAATGGTTATGAAATAAATATTTCACATGAATGTAAGCTGAAAAATGCAATTGATTAAAAGGAAATAAAAGCTCTTTTGAGACAGAAAAGAGTTTACAAGTAGAAAAGAGAAATTCTAACAACAAAGGTTTGATCTTTTCTTCGGTTCTGCTGGTGCACTGGATTCCAATCCAGCTCAACCACTTGGTAGGTGTGTGACCTTGGACAAGTCCTTTAACTACTTTAAGCTCATTTCCCATCTGTAAACTGGGAAGTTCGTCGTGAGGCTTGAGATAACATATATGATATACCTGGCACATCGTAGGGGTTTGCCAGGTA